CAGCTCCTGCTAACTTAGCAGTTCGAAAGCAAGAAATTGCAAGTAGATACATAGGTACCACTTCGGTGGGAAGGGAACAGCGTTCCGTGCACCTTGGTGTTTAGTCATGCTGGCCACATGACCACGGAAATGTCTTCGGACAGCGCTTGCTCTTCGGCTTGGAAATGGAGATGAGCACCGCAACCCTAGAGTCGGATTCGACTGGCTTTCAAGCAATGGAACCTTTACCTTTATAAAACATTTTATACAAATTTTCTTTAAATGAAACAGATTTAGTCAATTTGATATTCACATTCCATATTTTACTCCATTGTGCATCCCTGGGGTTTCTCTCTCTCTCCCCCCCCTTTCTTTCTTCTCCCTGTATTGTCCAACCATATGCCATACTTTACAATTCTCCTCAAGTTGTGTCTCCTCACTGAAATACCTTCTGAGTTTGAAAGCCCTTCATACTAAACTTATAACCTCTCCTTAGGAAGAGTTGCTAGGTTAAAAATACATATATAACTTAACATCACATAAGGTTCTGAATATTTCTCAAATGTACATCACTATTCAATATGTGAAATACATAAAACTGCAATAAATAGGCTGGAGATTTAAAGCAATATCTAACATTTACGATTTGACACTCCGAAAAGAAAGTTTTCACAGATTCTCAGTTCACAATTTCAATGGATTGCAAAATATAATCTTCAAATGTGCATCAAGCAAGTACATCCACTTCTAAAGACTTAAGAAAGACCATATTAAACAATATAAAGTATGTTGTAAACAGCATGTTGCAATCAGCAAGTAGATCCAGGCCATAGGACTTGAGACAGACAATAAGAAATAGGCTGCAGTCAACTCATCCTCCAGATTATTCAATGAGTTTTCGATGCCTTCATCAGGACTGTAAATGGACTCCCAGAGAGGCACAGCCACAGGAACTTCTCAGCCAATAATGCCTCCAAACTGTCTTATTGTACAGCAATGTCTCCAGACTGCCTTATTTTCCTTTGTTCATGATAGATACGTGTAACCTGATTCTATAGGCATTCTTCCATCTAAAGTACATCAATTTCCTTAAATTCCTGTTAGGTTGAAAATACAGGCAGTCGACTTTCGGTACGGCGCGATGACGGGAGGGTGTTCGGTTAGCTCCGAACCCTCCCGAACCTCTCTCGTCTTCTTCGAGCCTCCCAGCATTGGGAGAGCTCGACCTGCACTCCGGTGGAGAGAGCAGGAGTAGAGGGCTTTCTGCTGGCCTCTCCCACAAACTGGCAAAGCGGGGGGGGGGTGACCGGCACTGTCCTGATGCGGAGCGAGAGTTTGGGAAGAACATGGCCGCCATGTTCCCAAGACGCTGCCACTCGGTTCTTTTAAATTTTAGTTGCTTCTCTTGAATCGATGCATCACATTGAAGAGTTTGGACTTCCCCCTTTTTGGCAATTTCCTGGTGGGAGAGCATGGAAAAAGAGGAGAACGGATTGTTACACCCCCTGTGAGTATTCCCTGCTATATGAAGAAACGGCCGTAAAAAAGTTGTGTGGGAATTGAGAGAGATGAAAAGTGACAGGGGAAAGAAAAGACTATGGTTTCTGCTTTACTACAAATAGTATTAATATGATTTCTGAAGCTGTGGAGAGTGTTGTTGGTGTTGTATCTAAAGAAAATATACTTAAACTCGGCTAATTGAAAGCGAAGTGTGACAAAGGAAAAAAATGGAGGCGGTGGAGGTTAATGAGGGCACAGATCAAGACATAAAGGTTGGTGAGCTTTTAGGAGAGCAATTAAAAAAAAACACTGTTAGAAGAATTGAGGCAAGCTTGCAAAGAGGCTGTGAAACAAGCCTGCAAAGTAGCCTGTGAGGATTTTTTGAAAAACTTTCCAAGTGTAAAGGTAGAGGAGAAGGACAATGGAGAACAAATACAAGGAGAGCAAAGGTGGGGTGAAGTTCAGGAAGCAGAGCAAGAGAGAGAGACCTATGTTATTCAACCTGTGTGCAAAGAAGGGGAGCTGCAAGAGGTGGATACTCTGGATTGTTTGTTGGAGAATCAAAGTATTTTGAAATTAGAAAAATGGAAGAAAGGCTTTGTGGAACCTACTACCAAGAAGAAGAAGAGGTCAATAAGAGGGAAAAAGTTAAAGAAAGGTGATGAAGTTCAAAGGCTCCAAACACTTAAACTGGACTTTAAAGGAATATGGAAAGGTACTCTGGAAATTTGGAAAGAGAACTACAGGAATACAAAAACCGGCATCACTTGGAAGAAAATGGAAGAAATCAAGATAAAAAGGAAATTGAACTCAATGTCATTGTAATGATTGTTATTTGTCAGCTGTAAACATTTCCATGCTCATGGATGTTAAGAACTGAAAAAGATGAGTGTAGGGACAGAATGTGGGCTTAAGATTTATTTTCCTTTTCCTCTGATCCTTTAATATACGTTAGTTGGATATGAAATTTGTGGGTGATTTCAGAAGTAATAAATAAAAAGGTTCAAGGTTAGTATGTTAGGGACCTTGCTGTATGAACTTAGCTAGCTATTGGAATATGAACAAAATCTCATGCTGTTACTTGGTTACAAAAGGAATGCTGTTGTAGATGCTAGAGGAAATATGTCAAATTGTTTAAGATTAGTTGGTAGGTGATAGGGTAATATAATTTGATTTTGATATGGAATTTACTTTTGAGAGGGGAGTGGTAATGACTAGGAATGGAGATGGTAATAGAAGTGGCAGGAGAGTGCTCTGTGTATGTATTGGTGAAGATATGATTTTGGTGTTGGTAGTTTTGTCCTTTGCTGTTTTAATATAAGTTAATTGGAAATGATAAGTTTAATAGGATAATTATTAGGTTATATAAATTAATTTCCCCCCCTTAAAATAATAACTAGGATTGGGATTTATGAAGCAATAATTATGAAATGACTATGAACTGAGAGGTAACAGTGATTGGAGAGTGCTTAGGTGTAGGTATTGGTGAGGATATGATTTTGGTGTTGGTAGATTTGCCTTTTGCTGCTTTAACACAAAATAATTGGAAATGATTGTTGATAAGCTTAATAGGATAATAAGGAGGTTACATAAATTAATTTTTCTTAATAAATTACTAGGATTTTTAGGTTTGGACTTATGACAATAATGACACAGAAACCAGGAATGAATTTGTAAGTGATGAGTTAGATAGACGGAGTAATAGCAAAAACCAGAGAGGTTGGATTAAAATAATTGGAGAGGATATTGGGGGATGAATTAATGTATAATCAAATATTTGATCAATGTGATGTGATCAATTGATGTGAGGATTTATGTTTGTTAGTGGTATATGTGTGTGTTTGTTTTCTAAGCATAAAAACCCAATAAATATATTAAAAAAAATACAGGCAGTCATCCCAGGGCCCAGGTCAGGTCTCTAAATCAACTTTGCATTTTGATACAACTTTTGTTTGCTGTGATGTCTTGCAGCAGAGCCCAAGCAAGTCATGCATTTCTGGCTCCCATCATATCCAATGGTACTTCAGACATCTCCCATAGTTCCCAATGGGCAGGATCACCCCCACCCTGCCCCAGCTCCCTATTTATCCAGGAATAGAAGAACAAGAGGGCTCTGCACCACACAAGAGAGGGAGGGAAGTAGAAGTGTGGCTCTCTGTGGCTTGTCTCCAAACGTGATTGGCTGGAAGCTTTCTCTGCTCCTCCTTTGGAAAGATCCATTTGGAAGACAGAAATGCTATTGCTTGAGAAATCAGTAGGATCAAGGAAGAACATGAGCACATGCTGCCTGCTAGCAACCTCCGAAGTCAAAGACAACTAGGATTTCTTTGGGGAGGGTAATTTAGTTTTACTAAGAATCCTGGATTCCTAATGCTGTTCTGGAACATCATGATAATGACATGGAAAAGCAGTTTCCATGTATATCTTCACCTTGAGTATTTCTTTATGCACACCCCTAGTTGGGTATCAGCTATACACTGAATACCTGTCTCCAAGTGGCATGATTCAGAACCACTGTCCCATAGGTTGAATTTCTTGACTAACCCCACTGCTGTGGAAGCCATACTGTTTCTGCAGGACTGAATACCATTCTCCAATAGCTGCATTGCCACCTAGGATCCTGAACACGGGCAAGGTCTCCTTTCTCTACAGTCTAGCTGGCGATAGGTTGGCACAGTCACCATTCAACTGTTCTTCTGATTGGCTGTCAGCAAAATACTGCACAGCCTATCCAATGGTCCAGTCTCCTCATTTTTATTTTTATTTTATTAATTGAGGCACCAAAACATCCCTGTCACAAAGCATAAGCTACACTTTCCGACTCCACAGCCATTCTTCCATGTATTTTTCCAACATGAACATTATCAGAATGGCATTATCAGAATGGCAGATTCAGCAACTATTCTTCCTGGCTAGGACTTTACCGCTCGCCGAACTGTCAGATCGCTGTGCGGGTAACTGGGTGCCCCCAGAGACTCTCCACTTATGGCAGGCCAGTAATTGAAACTTTATCCCACTTCCTATTTAGTTGCCATCTGTGCTCTTCTATAAGAGCCAATCTCATGCTGCCTTTAATGAGCAGGTTTCCATCTGCCGTATCTTTTACCTGGCAATGATAGGAGTGTAACTCTGGCCATGGCAAAGTTTATATTCCATGCTCTGTGGATCAGGCAGGCACATGTTAAAAACAAAAACACTAAGCCTAACTACTAGTGGGACTATACTCTTTGTTTCGCCAAGGTGCCTTGGGGGCACGTAGACATTCTGATTTTGGCACAGGAAAAGAACGACAGTGTTAACGTTTGATATTTTGTATATTTTGGAATTCAGCATAATACAATTTTACCTTGCTATATATGTATATGTGTGTGTGTTTCTGTAGATATACATGCACACAGAGAAAGAGGGAGAGAGTTGCCAAGGGTTTAATGTTCCATTTTCTTCCTCCATTATGAAGTCTCACCCTCAGTATTGACAGGAAAGCTCAAATTTATGTAACTATTTCACAATTTTATTTTCAGGGCAGCCAGTTGACCCTTCGTTAATGATCAGAAATTCAGTCGCCAACGTGATTTGTGCTCTCACTTTTGGGTACCGATTTTCTTTAGATGAAGAAGAATATCTCAAGTTGATTGAAGCTGTTAGTGTATTTATACACTTTGGAGGTTCTTTATTTCATCTTGTGAGTATCCCCAACTTTCCTACTGAAATCATAATCCTCCATTAAGTGATGAATTTAACCAAATTTTCACACCCACATATATATATTCTCTTTCAAATATTTTATTAAGATTCTCAAATCACAAAAAATCAATAAAACATTCAATCGAACAAACAGAAAAATAAAAATATATTATCTACAGAGGGAAAGGTAAATTATATCTTATCATACTTACTTATTCTTTGCATTATTATTTATTATTACTATTATTTACTATTAAATAGAAGAAGAAGAGAAGAGATTGGTTTTATACCCCACCCTTCACTACCCAAAGGTGTCTCAGAGTGGCTTCCAAACTCCTTTCCCTTCCCCTCCCCACAACAGACATCCTGTGAGGTAGGTGGGGCTGTCCCCTCCCCACAACAGACACCCTGTGAGGTAGGTGGGGCTGAGAGAGCTCTTGACAGAAACTGCTCTTTTTCAAGGACAGCTGTGCCAGAGTTATGGCTTGCCCAAGGTCATCCAGCCAGGTGCAAGTGGAGGAGTGGGGAAGCAAACCCGGTTCTCCCAGATTAGAGTCCACGCACTTAACCACTACACCAAACTGGTGTACAGTAAGATATTAGTCTAATAGTGACAGCAATGCAGTTTTCTTGATGCTTACACTTGGCTATAGGTGCAGTAAATTGAGAGCTTTAAGCTTTAAGAAGTACTTTTCTTCCTTTCTCACAATACAAGAACTTATGGGGACTCAATGAAATTGCTAAGCAGTTGGGTTAGAACAGATAAAAGGAAGTACTTCTTCACCCAAAGAATGATTAACACATGGAATTCACTGCCACGGGAGGTGGTGGCAATTACAAGCATGGACAGTTTCCAGAGGGAACTGGATAAACATATGGAGCAGAGGTCCATCAGTGGCTACTAGCCACAAGGTATAGATAGGAACTCTCAGACTGGGGCTAGTGATGCTCTGTATTCTTGGTGCCTGGGGGTGGGAAACAGTGGGAAAGCTTCTAGTGTCCTGGCCCCACTGGTGGACCTCCTGATGACACCTGGTATTTTTGGTCACTGTGTGACAGAATGTTGGTCTGGATGGGCTATTGGCCTGATCCAGCACTGGCTTCTCTTATGTTCTTATATTCTCACTTGGAATAAACTCTTGTTCAGGAAAATATTCTAGTGCAATATACAATTTTTTTCATCAAAATTAAACTGTGGAGAGTGTGGGTCATAATGTTGTATATGTGCTGATATTTTTCCCATCACAAATTGTTCCCAGATTTTACAATGCCATCATGCCAGCATTGGAGCTGACTTATTTTTCCAATTGAGTGCAATAGCTGTTTTCACTGCCACTAGTAAACTGAAGATTAGATCCTTTCTAATTTTAGGAATTGTAGGTTCAGGCCAGTAATTCAAGAACAGGAATTCAGGTGTAAAAGCAACACAGTAACCTGAGATTGAATATATTCAATTCCGTACATCTGCCCAAAATTGTCAAATTTTTGTGCATTGCCACCAGCAGTGTGTGTACGTGCCTACCTCTCCACAATTTTTCCAACAAAGTCTTGATTGAGAAGACATCATGTGGGAAATTTTAAGTAGCATGTGATACTAGTGGGTTAATATTTTGAACATTTCAGTTTTTGTATTAATTACGTGTGATGTAAAATCAGAAAAGCCCCAGATATTTGACCAGATATCCTCTGTGAGTGTTATACTGCAATCTTGTTGCTATAATTTCTGATAATATTGTGTTTTGGTGTTATTTACTTTGAGTAGAAGTTTGGATATTTTTGAAATTAGATGACAATTGCTACCATTTGCTTCTCAAAGAATGATTTCAAACTCAATATGTTAGCTAGTATTTTACAGATATTAAGTTGTACGCAGAGACTGTGTATTTGTAGAGAATGAAACCAGAGAATTCAGCTACCTAATTTTTTTCCAAGTTTAGATTTATTGAGTAAGCCATGTTTCGTGGTTATATCTACTAGTCTAGTAAGACTTGCTTGCTGCCAAAGTCTGAACGAATTGTGATTTTGTCCTGGTAAGAACCATTCCTGACCTTAAAAAGATGAGAATCGTGGTAGTGTAGTTTTAATCTTCTGTTATCCAAAATATGTAATATTGAGAAGAGAAATACACAGCTGGAGTGCATCCACAGTGGTGGCATTTTGTAGAATCTTTTACTGATCAGTTCAATGTATTCTGAGAACCCCCTGTTCCCAGTAAGTACTCCACTTATTCAGAGAGGCCATGGTTAGATTTTCATCCCTTTGTGGACTAATTTTCCAGTACACTTTATCAAGTTTCTTGGAGACAGAATATTGACTCACAATTCTGCTGGCTTAAGACAGCATAACATGCAAACCTTCAAATGCCCTTTCATGAAAATATCAACATGCCCAAGAGAACACCATTCTCCCAAATGTGAACCTCATCCAAAAACTAGGAGACTATGGCAGTGCTCGTCCCTATGCAAGTGTAGCTAGTCTAGTTGATCATTTCCTATGGAAGGGGAGATGTGATCAGTGTTTCCTCTAAGGTGAGTTAGTGTGAGCTAGCTCACAGTTTTTTAGCCTCCAGCTCACACTTTTTTGTCTTAGCTCAGAAAGGAAGTCTGTATTATAAAGGAGATTTTGAGAGCCTTGGTTATTATCCTGTAAGTCTTGGTCATTACTCATAGTGTGAGGAGTTTTAGAGAACCACAGAAAATAATCTTAATTAATCTGCCCTTGGAATTATCAGGCAGCCAAACTACTTCCACTTGAAAGTGTCAGGAAAAACACATGCCTTAATCAAGAGATAAAAGAATTGAAGGGTTAATCTGTATCTATGACTTTGGAAGGCTAGAGGTGTACAGGATGAAGAAGAGAAGAGATTGGATTTATACCCTGCCCTTCACTCGGAGTCTCACAGCGGCTTAGAAACTCCTTTCCCTTCCCCTCCATGCAACAGACTTACTGTGAGGTAGGTGGGGCTGAGAGAGCTCTTTCGAGAACAGTCCTTGAGAGAACAGCTCTGACAGAACTATGGCTTGCCCAAGGTCATCCAGCAGCTGCGAGTGGAGGAGTAGGGGAATCAAACCCGGTTCTCCCAGATTAGAGTCCGTGCATTTAACCACTGCACTAAACTGCACCAGAAGATAGAGGTTTACAAAAGATACGTCTTAGAAATAGGTGGGCATGAGGGAACCATGAGAAGAAACTCTATGAATGTCTATGATTTAATCTGGAAATCATCTGTGAGTAAATAATCCGGAGGATATAATCTAGCTCTGCAGAACGTAATATGCACATTCAGAGGAAACTGTTGTTGGCCAAGTTAGTTGAGTCACAGAAGACCTGTGGCGATCTCCCAAATTAAAAAAAAACCAACAAAAAAAACTGGAAAACATTTGGAGAATCTGGAATTAAGAAAGGAAGGGTGATAAGAGGCTGGCCTCGATCATTTTCGCTACCCAAAATCATCCTCCGAAATTATTTTGTAACCTGTGGGTGAAAGATATAGGGCACTGGTATCTTTTTCACTGGTAGGAGAAATACAACTAGCGTGCATATACTTTCAAGCGGACAAACGGCAAAAGATTAAAGAACTAAGGAACCTCTGGCACTCCTCCCTTCAATTCCTCTGATGCTATGGGGCCATTTCAGCCACTGTGGGCAATGTTAATATGCAATCTCTCTGGTAAAATCTGGTCGATGCTATTTAAATGGCACCCAGAAAAAACTGGCTTATGGACTATGTTGGTTTACAGACTATGCTGGTTTGTGGACGGTGTTAACTGAGTCCCTTTGCAATACTAAAAGGGCTTTGCTTTTGTCTTTCCTGCAGTTGTATGAATCTTTCCCATGGGTCATGAAACTTCTTCCAGGGCCTCACAAAAAGGCACATGCCTGCGCAAAGGACGTGCTATCGTTTGCCAGAAAAGAAATAGAAAAACATAAAGATCAGCAATCCCTGCACCAGCCACAGGATTTCATTGACTACTATCTACTTCAGATGGAGAAAGTAAGTGTTTGCCTTGTGCGGGAAATCCAATAAAAGCCTTCCAACTATAGTTCTTGAAATCTTTGCATAGCGGTTCGAAACTTTTTAGGAAGTCCACGGACACAATGTCATTATTCTCGGGCAGGTTGCTGGAGAGGTGGCACAGTAAGTTGTAAATAAATGAAATAAGAATCATAGAATGATTGAATCATAGAATCACAGAGTTGGAAGGGGCCATACAGGCCATCTAGGCCAACCCCATGCTTAATGCAACAATTTTAGACTAACATTAACATAAGCTGTTGTTATGATCTCCTATTCTTGGGGGTTTAGTTATTAGTGGTTTTCTTTCCCTTCTCCCTAGATGTAGCTACCCTTCCCTATTTTTTCATTGTAGTTTGTAGTCCATTAAAAAATGCAATTAAAAAATCCCCTCTGGGGGCCTAAAAAATAATAATGCAGGATCAGCCTAGAGCATCCCTGACAAGTGTTTGTCCAGCCACTGCTTAAAGACTGCCAGTGAGGGGGAGCTCACCACCTCCCTGAGTCCACTGTTGAACAACTCTTACAGTAAAGACGTTTTCCCTAATATCCAGTCGGTACCTTCCCACCCTTAATTTAAACCCATTGTTGCAAGTCCTCTCCTCTGCTGCCAACAGGAATAGCTCCCTGCCCTCCTCTAAGTGACAGCCCTTCAAAGACTTCAAGAGAGCAATCATGTTCTCCTTCAACTTCCTCTTCTCCAGGTGGAAAATTCCCCTCAGCCTTTCTTCACAGGGCTTGATCTGTGAGGGTAGACCAAATTACACAATGTTATCCAGCTAAGGAAGGATCAAGATGACACAACAGGGTGGGGAGTGCTATCCAACTTCTTCTTCAATACAAGGGACCCAGGTGATGGCAATATTTGAATCGAGCTGAATTCAAGTCCAGTAGTACCTTAGAAACCAACATGATTGTGGGGGCATGAGCAAAGGGGTATGACAATGGGAGTGTTGACTCTCGAGAGCTCATACCCCTCCCAAATCTTTTTTTGGGTATTTTTGCATCTCTCTCTCTCTCTCTCTCTCTCTCTCTCTCTCTTTGTGCCTGTGCCTCTTTGTCATGTCTCCCCCCTCCTCTCTCTCTCTCTCTCTCTCTCTCTCTTTGTGCATGTGCCTGGAAGTCATGGTGACCTCTGACAACTCCTACTGGGGCATGGAGAACATTCAGAGATGCTGTCATATGTAATATGTAGTCTATATTGCTAGTTCGATTTTCTTAATATCAACAACTAATTATAAATTGCACTCTGCATGCTCTGTGAAATTGTCCTGTGTTTTATTATTTTTTTTAAATTGTATATCAAATATGTCCTTATTTTTTAATTACTCCATTAGATTCCCCCTGATGAAGCTGCATGTGAAACACATAGTGGTTGTATAATTACCATCAAAAGAGGCTCCGGGTGGGTGTTCTCGCTTTGGACACTCAGCGTCAGATTGCTGTGGTGGCCTCAGCCAGATATAATGACAGAGAGTCCACCATTTTCTCCAGGGGAACTGATCACTGCCACCTGAAAAGCAGTTGTAATTCTGAGTGATCTTCAGCTCTCACCTGGAGATTGGCAACAATGGTTCCTCTTGAGGAAATGGCTGGTTTGGCGGGTGGAGTCTATGGCATTGTACCTGTCTGAGGTCCCACCCTCTTCAAACCCCACCCTTCCCAGACTCCATCTTCCAAATTTCCCATCCTGGAGTTGGCAACCCTATCTCCTTCCCAGCCAACCATCAACTTACCTTTATCTACCCCTCTGACTTCAGCTTTTCATCTCCTCCCCCTTTGACCTAAGAAGAGTACAGTCTTTCTCCACAGTGGGGACCAAAGCAACTCACATCATTCTCCTCTCCCCCTTTTGATCTGCACAACAACCCCATGAGGTAGGTTAGGCTGAAAGTCTGTGACTGGTGTGAAATCACCCACTCAGCTTCCACAGACAGAATTTGGGTCTGGTAGACCCTGCTCTGAAGCATTAACTGCTACGTCACACTGGCTGTCATAGGGTGGCCACCTCAGCTGGGTATAATGACACAGAGTCCACCATTTTCTCCAGGGGAACTGATCTCTGCTGTCTGAAGAGCAGTTGTAATTCTGAATAATCTCTGGCCCTCACCTGGAGATTGGCAAAAATGGTTCCCCAGGAGGAAAAGTACAGTCTTTCTTCACAGTGGGGACCAAAGCAGCTTACATCATTCTCCTCTCCCCCTTTTGATCTGCACAACAACCCTGTGTGGTGGGTTAAGGTTGAAAATCTGCAACTGGTCCAAAATCACCCACTCAGCTACCACAGCAAGAACCTGGGTCTGGCAGACCTTACTCTGAAGCACTAACTCCTACGCCACACTGGCTGTGGTATCACCTGGTATCACAACTGAACTCCAGACAACAGATCTCTCTCTCCCCCTGGAGAAAATAACTGCTTTGGAGGGTGAACTTTGTGGCATTCTATTCAGCTGAGGCCTCTTCCCTCCCCAAACTCTGGCTTCTGTAGACTCCACCACAAAATCTCCAGGAATTTCCCAACCTGGAGCTGGGACCACTAGTCAAGACTGGCCCCAATGAGTTCCTCACAAAGACCAAAGGAGGCCTGGAAAGGGTCTCCTCCCCTCACCTTTTTACTGACAGAACCAAGCTTGGTTGCCTAGCAACATCTATTGAGGGAAAAGTTAGGCCCACAGCAGGAAGATAAGATAATGGTCTGAGGGCTGGTAGCCCACCTCAGTAGCCAGGCAGAGGAGCCAAGCAGGAGAAGTGTCTTCATCAGTAGATTTTGGCAGTTTATTCTGTCGGGAAAGTGGCCAAGCTGGCAGTGGGTGGGGGAGAGGAGGGGACCCAGCACCCAGCCAATGGAACACAGTACTCTTGAGTGGCAGTTGATGGGCCAATGGCTGATGGAGCGCACAGCATAGTCAATGGGAGAGCCGGAAAGTGTTAGTATGTTGGGCTTTTATATACATAGGATATAAGATTCTATTTCCCCCTGTACCAATTTGTTTCTTCATCCAAGTTGGTGATTTGTCCTAAAGGTTTCTACTGAATTATAGGTCAAATGGAAGAGGATTTCTTCTGTCACGTCTGTTCATTACAGATTTTATCGTTGGTGCTGTTTAATGTGGGTTTTATTGGGGGGGTTATTTAAAAGAATGATGAAAATGTCTTCTATTGCATGATGTGAAGATGAACAAGAACAAGGAACCTAGCTCATGCAGATACTATCCATTGGCCCTGGTCACACGGCAAAGTTGCCGCGGGAGAGGCACGGAAGTCCCGCAGATTTTCTAGGCGCGATTTCACCCCAACATCCGGGAAGCGCAGTGCTCCCATGGCGAACCCATGGCTCCCCACCGAAAGTGCGGAGTTAAAAACTAGTACCTATGAGGTACTAGTTTCCTGAAATTGCGGGCCAAGGGCGGGCATCTGATCGCGTTTCCGGTGGACTTACGTGGCATCCAGCACTCGCCGCTGTTTGTCTCCGCAGGTTGTGCAACAGCACCCAACAGCGCATGCACACAAAGAGCGATTGCTAGTGCGATCGCACGCCGTGGCTTCTGTGCCGTGCTGCAGGATACCCGTCTGATCGGCATTTTCCCCGAACCATGGGACCTCGACCGGGACGTGTGCTCGGGCAGCCGCATGTTAGTTTCCTCCGGGGCAATTAGCCACACTTCCCCCCGTGATATCCGGCCCATGTGACCGGGGCCATTATTTGTTTTAAGAATTATATTGTATTACTGAAAGAGATCAGTTGATCATTCAACAAAGAGAATAGAAACATGAGGAAAGGAGGCAGGATGTCTAGCACATGAGGAATTTATACATTGCTTGGCCACCTGCCAAACAGCTAATAAGGGGGGCAGGGGTGGGGGATCCCCTCCCCCTGGTGGTTCCCTGGCAGCTCTACTCTGGGTGACATCGGTGCAAACAACAAAATGCCTGTCATGATGCAAATTCCAATTCCTGTTTCAACAACAGAGCAAAAATGATCCCAGCTCTACATACAATGAAGAGAACCTGGCACAGTCCATTTTCGACCTCTTTATCGCAGGAATGGACACAACCACAACCACTCTTCTATGGGGTCTGCTCCTCATTGCAAAACATCCAGACATCCAAGGTGAGAAAGTCTTGTGCAAAGTGAGCAAGGTGCATTCTTCATTTCTGTAGTAGAAAACTTACTTGGTTTGGCCTCCCCCCCCCCCCCATTTTCACACATTGTCATTTTTAAAAAGATTTCGTACTGGCTGGCTCATTAGGACATGTACATTTTAAACTTGACACTTGCTCACCAGTGTGGCCAGAGAAAGTATGTAGTGATTGTGTTGAACCGCGAAGTGGCACCTAGGAACTTCAAAAAATCTCTATGGCAAACACCATAGAGATTCTGGGCATTCTAGAGTAGATTCAATGAAATTATCCTCACAGTGGCTGATTCTGCACCCATCTGTTTCCCCACAGTTCCACATTGGGATGTTAATCTCCCTCTACACTGCATGCTGCTTTCACTTCCTTTGTTCATAGATTTATGCATAGATTTATGGCTGATCAGGGGTGACCGCAGTCAGTACGGTGTTGCCCCGGGGTATCTGAATGTGGTTTTGAGCTTCACCTTTTCCTTCCTCCCCATCCAATTTGAGGGGAATCATAAGCGGACAACTTGACGTGGCTTCATTGATCTCTGACAGTTTCCCCGCCCCTCTTTTCCCCTCTGTATTTATCACCTTGCCATGAATTACTTGGCTCAGTCAGTGGGATCCACCATCCAAAGCATCTCCTATACAGCTAATGACCACTGAGGAAAGTACTGACACAGGAAACTCTGCATACCAATGCAGGAGCGAGCGTTGAAAACAAAATAGATGACAAGCGGACATGGGACTTAATGGGTAGCTAATGCAGGAACCAGGATCTGAGGCAATGCAATAAAAACAGATAATCCGAAGCAAGGGGGAACCCAAGTCGAGTGCTGAGAAAACGTGGAGCCAATGCCAGATGCAGAATGGACCTTTGTCTTGCTGCATTGGCAGGTGAGTGAGGTCAGAGGTGGGCAGGCAGCCATCTAGAGCACATTTCAAACCACCAGCCAGGCAGCTGGGCAGCCAGGGTGGTAGTACTGAGTCTGGGAGGGGGGGCTTAGCACCCTTTGCCCTCTGGCACCCTAGGCAGGACCATAGGACTGTGTAGTGGGAGGGTTGCCCTTGAAGACAGAATGGACAAAAATATTCCTCCTATGATTTGTTCTTAAGTTTTCAAAACGACACAGGATTCAATTAGTTACTCCCTGTATCAAACACAGTTCAGTCTTGAATGTGCTTAGTGTGTTCTCTTTAATATCCAGCTGATGCAATCTTGCATGGCACTGAGCTCTTTTACTCCTTACCAATGCTTCCTCTAAGCTGTGAAATCTTGTGAGCAAAAATTCTACTCCATGAGCTACTGGCCTTAAAGTTGTGAGCGAGCGATTTGGCTACTGCATAAATTAGTTTGCTCTGGCGCCATCTTTCCTGAGCTAAGACAAAAATGTGTGAGCCGGAGGCTAAAAAGACTGTGAGCTAGCTCACACTAACTCACCTTATAGGGGACACTGTTCCCCACTCTCTTTCCCCCCTATAACTTATGAAAGAAAATATACCAAGTTTTTGGAAAGGCAGAATGAGGATCACATAATAAACATTTTGTCAGGCTCCTGACAAGACAGGCCAAACAGCAATTAAGAAATCCTTTGAGTTTATGCAACTCTAGTTGCTTTATTACAGTTTCTTATTCACAGTGTATTTCAACCATAAAGCAAGTGGGTTTCCCTTGAGATATCAGGATTCTACACTCCACCCTGCAGCTCAACTGATATTCAGGAGGTCTGGGTGAAACCATCGTATATTTTAATAGTCAACTGTAGCCCTGTCTGTGGATACTTAAATTTGCACATTGAGGCTGCAGAGATAGAGACAGAATTTTTTTCTGCAAACTCTGCAAACTTGGGGGACCCCCTAGGTCTGCAGAAAAGTCTGAAAACTAAAAAAAAAAAAGAGGGGTTAAATCCTCCCAAAGACAACAGTGCTTTCTGCACAGCCACAAACAATGCTTCAGCACTCCTGCTGCCTTTGGACAGGGGAGAAGCTGCCACCATGGCCACAGAGGCAGCTAAGCTTCCAGTGGGTGATGGAGGAGTCACCTTTGAATAAGAAGGTCTCCTCTGGAAGGGAAAGGAGCAGGGCTGTTTTTGTACCAGGAACTCCTTTGCATATTAGGCGACATACCTCTAATGTAGCCAATCCTCCAAGAGCTCTTCTTACAGGGGCTACTATAAGCTCTTGGAAGATTGGCTACATTAGGGGTGTGTCACCTAATATGCAAATGAGTTCCTGCTACAAAAAGAGCCCTGGAAAGGAGAAAGGGTACTGCCTGATAACAGCCAGTGAAGGCTCGGTAGGTGACTGAGACTGATCTTCCTCCCTCCTCTCTTGAGGAGAGCTGCCTTTTGGTTGCCTAGAGGAGCTTGGCTTCTCCATTGCCAGTTTGTTGTAGTGGTTAAGTGTGCAGGCTCTAATCTGGGAGAACCGGGTCTGATTCCCCACTCCTCCACTTGCACCTGGCTGGATGACCTTGGGCAAGCCATAGTTCTGATAAGAGCTGTCCTTCAAAAAGAGCCGTTTCTGTCAGAGCTCTCTCAGCCCCACCTACTTCCCAGGGTGTCTGTTGTGGGGAAGGGAAGAGAAAGGAGTTTGTCAGCCGCTCTGAGACACCTTTGGGTAGTGAAGGGTGGGGTATAAATCCAATCTCTTCTTCTTCTTTTACCTCACAGGGTGTCTGTTGTGGGGAAGGGAAGAGAAAGGAGTTTGTCAGCCGCTCTGAGACACCTTTGGGTAGTGAAGGGTGGGGTATAAATCCAATCTCTTCTTCTTCTTTTACCTCACAGGGTGTCTGTTGTGGGGAAGGGAAGAGAAAGGAGTTTGTCAGCCGCTCTGAGACACCTTTGGGTAGTGAAGGGTGGGGTATAAATCCAATCTCTTCTTCTTCTTTTACCTCACAGGGTGTCTGTTGTGGGGAAGGGAAGAGAAAGGAGTTTGTCAGCCGCTCTGAGACACCTTTGGGTAGTGAAGGGTGGGGTATAAATCCAATCTCTTCTTCTTCTTTTACCTCACAGGGTGTCTGTTGTGGGGAAGGGAAGAGATAGGAGTTTGTAAGCTGCTCTGAGACTCCTCTGGGTAGTGAAGGGCGGGATATAGATCCAATCTCTTCTTCTTCATTGAGGGAGAAGCATGGAGGCCAGACACCTTCCAATGGGTGTCTCCCTTTCAGTCATCTATTAATACTCAAACTTTGCTGTTGTTGTTTGTTTAATTTATACTCCACCCTATCCCACAAGTTGACTCAGGGCAGCTTACACAAGATTCACAAAACAATAAAAGTGATAGAACCAATAAAACAACAGATGGCACAATAAACAAGGGCAGAAAGGACCTGTGCCTCATGTCAGGTGGGAAAAAAACCCTCTAGTGCCCAGTTATGTTGTCTAAAGAAGCAGGGCACTGGAAAGGGGCCATGAACAGGGGAGGCCAGAATGGTTGAACGTCCACCACCTTCGAAGAAGAAGAAGAAGAAGAAGAAGAAGAAGAAGAAGAAGAAGAAGAAGAGATTGGATTTATACCCCGCCCTTCACTACCCAAAGGTGTCTCAGAGCGGCTTACAAACTCCTTTCCCTTCCCCTCCCCACAACAGACACCCTGGGAGGTAGGTGGGGCTGAGAGAGCTCTTGACAGAAACTGCTCTTTTTCAAGAACAACGCTTATCAGAACTACGGCTTGCCCGAGGTCATCCAGCCAGATGCAAGTGGAGGAGTGGGGAACCAAACCCGGTTCTCCCAGATTAGAATCCACGCACTTCACCACTACACCAAATTGGCTACAGTTTGGCTACACCAAACTGGAAGAAGAGAGGGGTGTTACACTGGCCCATAGCTACGGTGGGGCTATTAGTGGCTCCCCTCCCTTCCTTAAAGCCCTCCCCCCGGCTCCTTCCCAAAAGAAGAAGAAGAAGAGATTGGATTTATACCCTGCCCTTCACTACTGAAAGGTGTCTCAGAGAGGTTACAAACTCCTTTCCCTTCCCCTCCCCACAACAGACACCCTGTGAGGTAGGTGGGGCTGAGGGAGCTCTTGACAGAAACTGCTCTTTTTCAAGAACAGCTGTGCCAGAGTAATGGCTTGCCCTAGGTCATCCAGCCAGGTGCAAGTGGAGGAGTGGGGAATCAAACCCGGTTCTCCCAGATTAGAGATTAGCCTGGTGGAACAGCTGTGCTTTACAGGCCCTTTGAAACTGGTATAAGACCCGCAGGGCCCTGATCTCGGGTGGGAGCATGTCCCGCCACATTGGGTCAAGGGCCGGAAAAAACCCTTGCCCTGGTTGAGGCTAAGTGGATGTCCCTCGAGCTGGGGATCACCAGAAGGTGCTGATCAGAAGAGTGCAAAGCTCTCCGGGGCTCATAGGGGGAGAGGCGGTCCCACAGCTGTGATGGTCCCAGGCTGCGTAGGGCTTTAAAGGTCAAAGCCATAACCTTGAACCAGATCCAGTATCTTCCTGTGCTTTCCAGCTGAAGTGGCTGTAGTAGCTAGAAACCTATCTGATGTAGCTGCAGCAGCAGTGCTGCTGGAGGGGCTGCCTCTGCCTCTTACCACGGTGCCTGCCATATTCTTCCTGCCCCAGCAGCATATGGGGAAGAGCAGCAGCCATGCCAATGGCTGAGAGCAAGGTTAGTGATGTGGGGGGGGGAGACTGAAGAGGTGGGAGAGGGAGGGAGAGAGAGAGAGAGAGAGAATGATAGTAGGGTGGCTGTAAGAGAGCAAGATGGGCACAGAGACAAAAGGAATAAGAGTAGCATGTGGGAAGAGAGAGAAGAGAAAAGGAATGACAGTAGCAGAGGGAAGAGAGAGAAGGAATGACAGTAGGCATGGGTAAAAGGGAGAAGGAGAGAGAAGGAATGTCATTAGCATCAGGAGAGAGCAAGAGAGAAGGAATGTGAAAAGTACTGAGACTGGCAAGTGATTTCAGCTCTCATACTTTATTGTTGGTACAGAACAAGACAAGAAACTCTGGCTCGCAGGCCGGCTTATATGCTCAGTAAAACCCACTCCCAGAACACCCCCCCACTCAGTGATAGGCTATATACAGTGGCCGAGAGTTCCATCGGTCCTGACCAAGATCCTAGCCCTCTGGTTGGTGTGGGCTAGGATCCGCTTGGGCCATTGTCTCCCAGAGCAAAGCTCAGAGACTTTGCATGACCGCGTGGAGCACTAGCCTCGCACGCGGTTGGATTTAGATACATTACAGAACGAGAGTAGGCCTGGGAGAGAGGGAGAAGGAGAGAGAAAGAAGGAATGCCATTAGCATCAGGAGAGAGCAAGAAAGATGGAATGACAGTAGGCATGGGGGAGAGGGAGAAGGAGAGAGAGAGAGAGAAAAGGAATGCCATTAGCATCAGGAGAGAGCAAGAGAGAAGGAATGACAGTAGGCATGGGGGAGAGGGAGAAGGAGAGAGAGAGAGAGAAAAGGAATGCCATTAGCATCAGGAGAGAGCAAGAGAGAAGGAATGATAGTAGGTATGGGGGGAGAGGGAGAAGGAGAGAGAGAGAAGGAATGACATTAGCATCAGGAGAGAGCAAGAGAGAAGGAATGACAGTAGGGATGGGGGAGAGAGAGAGGGAGAGAGAGAGAGAAGGAATGCCATTAGCATCAGGAGAGAGCAAGAGAGAAGGAACGTCAGTAGGCATGGGGGGAGAGGGAGAAGGAGAGAGAGAGAAGGAATGACATTAGCATCAGGAGAGAGCAAGAGAGAAGGAATGACAGTAGGCATGGGGGAGAGGGAGAAGGAGA